ATCTTCCTTCACGTTCTTACGGGGTTCGTGTGGATTTGGAGTGAATAACGACGACACTTGACGAAGTATCGAATAACACTTTATTTACCATTATCAATCAGGACAGTTCCAAAACACTTTTTACAGTCATCTATGAACTACTATAAGCACGCTGACACGATCAGCGACACGGCCTTCAGGTTATCTGGCTATCACGGTGGAGGCAGCTTCACTGCAAAGCACCAGAGTACAGCTCCCGACTCTGCTCGGTCGTTCTCGGAACTCCACGTACTCTCGAGTCTCTCCACGCTACAACTCGCGATGCACTCGACGACACACAGAGCACGGCTCCCGATCGGCTCAGTCGTTCCCGGAGCTCAACACGCTCTCTCGACGATGCACTAACTGCAGTACACTAAGAGACTCCTTCGGTGAACTCGACGACCCATTGGGCATTCGCTGCCCGACTGTCAACTCGATCGACTCCGCAGGGAATGACTCGCTAGACGAGACACCAACTCGATACTGACTAGACGAGGCACACTCAATCGCCCTCTCCATGAAGCACACACTCTCGATACTAACTGACTGCGGACCAGCAGGGTTTATATAGCTTTCGGCTTGTGTTCGAGAACATTCTGGGCTAAACCGGTAAGAATTCGTTCCGGAAGGTTCTCCATCAGTCCATGGTATATCACCAATTTCGTCGCCAAATGGGCGATTTCTCGCCAAATGTGACAACCCTACCTTTCCCTGCCATATTATGGCAACCCTAAAACTGCTTTCGGGAATGCCATCTCACCGCGCCTTGACATTTCTTAAAAATATTATTACTGAATTTAAGTAATGTTATATTTGCATGACATTAATGCCAGCAAGTGTCCCAGAATTATTATCTGCAATAACGAATTTAAAAATAAAAGCAGTCCTGCTAACAAATATATGATATTTCTAAATGGAGGTGTTAATAAAATTTATCTTTATCAGATTTTCGCATAATATTTAATTGAAAACTTAATAATTAGACATTTCTTTCTTGTTTGGTTGCACCTTCTTTTCTATCTTTAATAGTCAGATCTTAAGAAACTTGATGGTTTCTTAGACGAAGTTCTTGCCATACGCCTTCATATGTACATAGAGTGGGTCATTTTTGGTTATGTACGCAAGCAGATTTAAGTTTGCAAATAAGAGAGTAAACACAGGTATAGACTGTGTTCGGAAATTAATTCCTTACGCAGGCGTGGAATGACAATGATAAATTAATAAATTTGTTAAACCCGTTAGTGAAGCTCTTTGTTGAATATTTACGGTATAAAGCAATGTGTTAATTTGTACTGAAATGTTTAAAACTATTATTCTGTAATTAGGTTTTTGACTAATGTAGGGCTTAATCTCAAAGAGATAAAGCAACTCTCGGATCGTGCATATGGCGTTCTGTCCTACAGTGAAATAATGGCAAAGCCATTTTGGAACCCATTAATGATAATTTTTGTGAAGGTCGATCATTAATGGCCTGACATCACAAAGTAATATTCGTTTTGAGGAACAGGTGATTAAAAGTCAAAAGCGTTGCAATACGATTGGAATCCATAAAAAACAAATTTGTGAACAGCGTTTTACTAAGATAAGTGCCCCTTTTCCTTCAGTAATTAGAAAACAGCAAATTGTAAACTCAGTTCAAAACAACTGGTTATGCGGGTCTAAGGAAACACTTAACTTGACACCTGAAGTCACAATCTCTTGAAGATACTAACCCCAATAACACAATCGCAGAATAAAGTGGACAGTCACTTGAAGTCACATCAAGGCTGAAAACAATATTTGATGAATAAAAAATATTTTTGATGAAAAGACTATAAGCCTTGAGTAATATCCTCTCTCTTGCTACTGACTGTGATCCGGCAATGGTAGGAGAACACCAATGCTTTCTGGCTTACAAAAGCAAACTATATCGAACAGTTTAAAGGTTGTTAGATTATATCCTTAGAGCAGTTAGTGAAATCCAAAGGAATGCATGAAAAGAGAGGTTATTTTCTCAAATTTGTTTGGAAAATTATGAAGATTATAATCTTTTACTATTTAATACGCTAGTTCATTGTTTATCTAAAAGAGAATGTTTGGGTCGATTTTATGCAGTCTTTGATTCAGTGTTGGAATTCCTGGAAAGAGAAAGACAATGATTTTTGCCTCATTTTTATTAATTCAACAAAGGCGTAGATTAGGTTTAAACGAAACAAGTTCCAAGCTGCAAGTAATAAAATGATATTTAATTCAAACTAAAAACGTAATATATGCGTTAGTTGCAAAATTTTTCCTATTTAAAAAATAGAAAATTAAAAAAAAAAAAAAAAAAAAGAAACTTATGGGGAGAAAAAATTATCGCAGCTTTTAAATTTTTAAAAACTACAAAAGTGAAAAGATTTACTTGCATATTGTCAGTACTGAGTGGCTCTTCATTCTGATCCTTCCCAAAGATTTGATGACATTCTTCACTTGGTAATAAATAATAAATAATAAATTCCCAAGAATTCAATTATAACCTAGAAAAAGAAAAAAATAATTATATCAAAAATAAAAAAGCTATGTGAGTTTAACATTGGTAGGTGTTAGTTGGGCCACCCTGTATAAAACAATAGTTATAAAATATTACTGTAAGTATCACCAAGTTTTATTTATATTTTATTTTTAGTCACCATTTACCGTTTGAGTCATAAATAAGTTAAATTTGTAGTTTTTGTCTTAAAACGTACGTTACGTTGGTATAAAAATATAAATAAGATAAATTTATAATTCATCGATTATGCGATTATGTAGAGTTGTGGTTTCCTGATCAAGGATCTGCTATAAAGGAAAAGGGTCAGCGAGCATACTAATTTTGAGAACCAATGTCTTAGACAACTGTGAAAAGTATATCGAGGTTAGCTCATTTTAAAAGTAAACTATTATATTTTCTATATTTTAGTAGATCAGGAAACTTTCTGATTTATCTACGTATGTGATTAGTACAATTCTCAATGACTAGAATACATTATCCATTTTTAAGACATTCATCCAACAGTCCTAACTACGTTCTATAAATCTTCGCTGCGCATTGTTACTCACTCGTTATTGATCATATAATGAACAGTTCCTTTTCTATGTTAAAATATATTAGCTGATTGTACTTTGCTTCTAGACAAAAATATGCGTTCCTTTGAACGTGTTTGTATGGCTTGAAATAATATGGCATTTTTTTTTTAATTCTTTCTTACTACTACAGACAACAGATTTAAACACAAGAGGTTTTCTGATAAATGGTTTATATTACAATATAAATTCTAAGTATACATTATAACTGTCTGATGTAATTCAGGATGTTTCGTCCTTTGAATAAGATGAGCCAGAGTGAGGTCCTCTTTCAAAAGCTTGCAGTATTTTGTTTTCCAAAAATCAAAGTCTTTAAGTTGAAATTTTGCCTAAATTCAAAACTGACTAGATTTTTTTCCTTCTGTCATTTTGAAAAAAATATCTTTTTTAAGTCAGAAAGACAAAATTAATCTCATAACTTTCAAAGCTTTCTTACACACGTATAAAAAATATTTATAATTTTATTTTATATTTTTCATTTGGTTTTAAGCAAATATTATCGTAAAAACTCAAACATAGAAATAATGCTTCTTACACGAAAAAACTGTCTGATAAGTGCGAAAAGTGGAAATTTAGAAACAAACCCAAAACTGTCAAATTTATTCCAGAAAGCACACATTAAATCACATTATCTTATATGGAACGTTTGCATATTATAGTTTTTCTGTTTGAAATTCCGTCTTAAAATATGTATTTAAAACACATTTTGCTTAAACCAGAAAGCAGTTTCTAACCATTATGCATTATATTGTACTCAGGAAGTTTAACATTAATATTGAATTTTCATTCTTCCTCTAAATAATCTGCATAATATTTAAAAGCTGAAATATTTCATCTACAAATTAAGAATCTTATTGTTAGGCAAAAATAATGCTTTTCAATCTCTACAGTTAAAAATATTTTTTTGGGGGGGGGGATGAAAGAATATAAATTTATATCCTCAATCATATTCGGAATGAGTAACAAATATATGTATTTGAAATGAGAAAAATATTTCGCAACTCGTATTTATTCCAAATGAAAATTTTTAAATTGGTTTTGTTTCATGATAATATCAACACTTGAAATAGAGAATAGATATTATAGTTATTACCTATAAACCTATAGATAGATAGATAGATAGATATAGATATATATAGATATATATATAATATTCGCATACTAAAAGCACGTATTTTAAAAGATACTGAAGGTGGAATTGCTGATCATAACACTTCCAAATTTTATATGAATACTTCTAAGAAAGAGGAATTTTATTTTATCTGTATATGAATCTATGTGTGTGAGCATTTAAATGCATATTTTTAACAATTTTGTAATAAGTTTTGATGAAAAATTTATTAAAATTTTTGATGAATGACTTGATTAATTTAAATCCTGACATTCATTTCTGACTTATTGTAGGAAACTCGTGAACGGCAAGAAATTTCCTTAAATTACATTCATCGATTTGGAATAGGAATAGGCCAATATGAAATTTATTAATTAGGCAACAAACCAACCTCAGAGTTTTGTAAATATTAATAGGTTTTGCTTAAAATCTATAGCAAACTTAGTTTGATTTTTCTCTAATTTTAATTATGTTTAATATTGTAATTATTATCGTATGCTAGAAAACATCTTCACCTTTTCCCAAACTAAACGAATTAAAAGGCTTGAGGTTATTTTATTTATTTTGTAATGTGCTATTAAACGCGTACATATTTCATAATCTTTAAATTTTACAATTATTTTTCTTATAATTTTACAACGTTATTTCTGGTAAATAAATATAATAGCATGCAAATTTTATAAAGCTTCAATTGCTTTTTTATAAATGAAAGTATATTTCAGTCTGTGTACAACAGCATTCAATCAAATCACTTGATAATATTAACACTTTTATTTTTTTGCAGATACTCCTCAACTCAAGCTTGCTTTGGGCGCTAGTAATCGACATTCAGCTATTAAAGAAGGCAGTGATGTGTATTTCGAGTGCAACATCAAGGCAAATCCTTCAGTTACAGAAGTTACGTGGTTCATGGATGATGAGCAGTTAACCAGCAATGCTTCTAAGGGAATAATTGTGAATAATCAGTCTCTTATTCTTCAGAAAGTAGGAAGAGAACATAGAGGTCTCTACAGATGCCAAGCCATCAATACCGAAGGCGAAGGAGAGAGTGATGTGGTCAAATTAGACGTACAATGTAAGTTTAAGAGTTTATATATCGTTTCTGGTTCCAACAGCTCAGAGTGCTTGAAGTCGGATTTCAGGCTTAATATATTGAACTTTATTTTTGTTCCTAAATTCACTCTCTAAGAATAAAAATGCTTTTGTGCACATATCGTAAACGTGTTAGCAAATACATTTTCTTTTTTGGCACCTTTTGTGTTAACTGTCGTTTCATTGTATGTGGTCAAATATAATGAATGTTTTCAATAACGGTACCAACCAATACAATTTCTTTCATTTTCTTTTTGTTGAATCTCAAAGTATATTTTAAATAACTGAAAATTAGCTATTTTCGGATCCTGAATAAAAAAGATGGTTTCTTATTAAGGAAATATTTTAAATGTTTATGTGCTACATAACGTTCGTAGCATAATTATGAAAATAAGGTTTCATCGGCGTATGGAAAAGTCATAACTTTTTTTAGAAGAAAACGGTATTATAACAGAAAAATATTTTTCACACATACCCAGGTATTATGATGAATTACTGAGAAGGATGGTTTGGGAAATGCAGCGTTAAGGAATGTATAAAACTGATTTTATTTGGGAAAAAAATATCTGAAAACTTTATAAGATTTTACATTACGGTAAATTTTACACAAATAGATTTTACATATATAGATTTTACATAAGGGTGTTTTCTTAACTGTTTTGTGTGTTATCTTTATTTTTTAAATATCATGTTCTTCGCACTCAAACCAAAAAATTCAATTCAAAAGCAATATCACAAAATAATTTTAAAACATCACATACTTAGAATTCCCGATACACAGTCTCGCGCGCTGGAGATAAAAATGTTTTTTTTTTTTTCCCTTACACTGTTGCCATTGCTCGCTTTGAAATCTTTGAACTTGTTAATCAGGCATTCTTTTAAGATCGTGAAATATGAAATAGATAATAAAACAAACTTCCACATCTGGGCTTTAAGATGCCCATACTCGAGTGGGAAGTATACGTTTTTCAAAATTTGATACCTCAAGGCACCGTTGTATTTTCACAGTGAGAGAAATATGCATATATCATTCCTACAGATTCTTCATTATTTAATTTCCTTAAATATAATGCAGGGCTCTAATATTTTGTGGCAACTATAAGAAAAGTAAAACGCCGCTTGAACTGAACCAATGCAAAATGAAATTAACAGCACTTCTATGCAAATTGTCCAATTGGGCTAAAAGAAACTGGCTTGAATGTAGTTGTATTCCATTCGTCGTTTTCATTATGACGGAAGTAAACGCAAAGGATCAACGTATAATAATAAAAAAAATATATATTAGTTCAATCTAGTCAAAAGGTCTTCTAACTGCATCTCACTGATAAAAGAAATTGTCTTTAAGTTTTAACTCATTCCTTAAATATGTTATGTGCTGGGATTCAAGGAATAACTTAGGCTCATTTCTTGCGCCTTTACACCATTTTTGTTTTATACCTTTTTATATTTTACAAATATTTTTTATAAGAAACTTAAATAAATTATATTTTATAATTGTTAACAAAGCTTTTCATATACCTATGTGAAAAATATTACCCAATTTTCTTTGTAAGGATGTTGATGCCAAATACTTTTTATGCTTAGCAGTATCTGAAATGACATTAAATATGGAAAAAAAAAAAAACATCTGATGTGTACACCACATGATTTTCTTGTACGGAATATTAAATTATACGTATAGGTTCTCGCTTTTTATTTAAACTTATTGTATTCTGCTTCCCACATTTGGCTTAAATATGGGATTTGGCTTAAATATTGCGATAGTGCACAAACAATAGTAGGATAAATGCACTCTTTAAAATTCACTATATTTATTAATCATAGCGACACTCTGGCTCTAGGTTCACTTACAGCGTTATACTCGTACATCTCATTCATTTTATAACTCATTAACATTTTATAACAATTTTATTTAAAATTATATCACCTGAAGAATTATCTAATCGTTGCCACATGTTTTATTCAAATACTATAATAAATCTAAAACGATGTGTAAAAGAAATTAGGAAAAAAAAGGGGGAGTGCGTCACAGACGATTCCAGCGGAGCTTACCTAATGTGGATACGCTACTCGTTAACATTCTCATCTGTTCGAGTCAGACTGGCGACAATATTTGCTGCTGATAAGAAACACTTATTTCCTCGGATTTTGTTAGAGAAAAATTTCTCATTCAATTAATTTAGTTCTCACTTCGCGACAAGGCCAAAATGCATAAATTCTTAAAATATCCTCATTAAAAATTGGAATATATAGAAAAACGTAAAACACCAGATACAGTTAAAATAAAAAAAAATAATAATAATAATAAATAATTGTTCTATGCAAAAACAAGAAATTTGGCCAGAGGGCAAGAAGTCAGGTTTTTCGCTGCACAAAACTGAAAGTTTACTTTTGGTCTCACTCGGCGAAAGGACACCGATGGCATAGAAATTGCCTTTATTTGTTGTGGACGCTTTGATGAGTCAATATACGGGATAATTTAATAACTTAAATGATAATTCCAGAATGAAGAAAGTATAATTTAATTCGCAATAATAAAAGAAGACGTTCCTTTGTGGTTGCGAGGCTTAGTTTCCCTAGATTGGCAACAAATCCACTATTCTGCTAAATTTCAAATGTAAACAAATATGGCTGCTATGACAAAAAAAAATTAGGCTTAGGAGCACTTAAACAGCTTTTCAATTGTTGATAATTCTACAACCATAACCTGCAGTTAACTAAATGCATAAAACCCTTAACCGTAAGATTATAACAACGTAATTCAATCATTTTTAAAGCAGAAAATGCACAATTTAAACACATATAAGAATAAATAAACTGAGCTCACTGAGCCGAGTAACAGAATGGATATATATATACACATATAATTTATGTAGTTTTGGTGCGGCCGATTGCAACCAAACTAGGAGGTGCACATCTATATGTTATAGCAGTCCTATATACAAAATTTTAACTTTCTGATACTACTCGTTTTTTAATTATGCGATATATTTACATACATACGCGCAGACATCACGAAAACTTATGTTCAGAATCCATTCATTTTAAATCAGTTTTATATTTTTGGGGAACAAAAAAAAGTCCTTTAATTTATCCTTACGTACAGATGTCACGTACAGATCATTTAAGTACAGATGGAGGTCAAAATGGATATTTTCTTTGAAATATGATATCCGAAATTTTTCGCAGTTACAGTATTTTCTTTTTACTTCTTATAAGGATTAATAATTAATTAATTTCTCCTTTACTTTGTTTCATACTGTCGCAAAACAGAAATCACTAACGTGTACAAGCTCTCGTATTTAGATCAAGTGCCACTTAATTGAAAAAAATACTGGAAGATTGTTTTGTGATTTTCATTTACATAAAGCAAAACTTCATTCAGCAGCATTTTGTTATTCGTAAACTCTTCTGCTTCGAGTTAAGAGAATGCCATATGAAAATAAGCAGATAAATAAATTGGAAGATGAATAGGCCACCAAATAGCGGCATTTTTTTAAGTAGCGATTTATGTTTCTATTCCCCTACAGCATTTTCCTTCTTTGCTTCTAAACTGGAATTTTATCTGTTTCTTATCTTTCTTCGAGGACTAGAATTGGCACTTTCCCAATCTTCTGGCGTATTCTTCACATCCTCTCCCTAATGTTCTCCTGTTAAGTTGAAAAATGTCGGCTTTTTTGTCAATTCAGTGGCATTTAAGACGACTAAATCTGCTGACGCGTTACGTGAACGTTGCATCACGTTTCTGTTGCAATGTTGTAGCCTTCCTGAATTTCTGAAGAATAACGATAAATGTTTAAACTAAAGAGTTTTTAAATTCTCTGAAGTTGTTCTGTAGGAAATCGAAGTTTATACACCATTTCTTATAGAAGAAAAATTAATATGTTATAAATATATTAATAGGATAAAATCGCCGTCAAACAATTTAAGAATTTGCTATGTGATTAAATGCAATATATTTATTTTCAGTATCGTATTGATAGATAATGTTTTTTTTTTTTGGGCAGATTAAAAGTAGATATGCATGGTTTAATACCTTAATGTACCGATAAAAATCCAGAAAGTGGTCGTTTATAGGCAATTTTTAGCCCAAAGACACTACTAATCTCGAAATGCAATTTAGAGTTATTTCATTTTCATGCAATTTCATTTTTCATTCAAGTCTGTTACTCATTTGGAATAAAATCTGATGCGTACACCACATCGCTTCCTTGTACGGAATATTAAATTATGCATATTTTTTCCTGCAATTTAAACTAATATCCTCGAATTTCATTAGAGATATATCTCTCATTCAATTAATTCAGTTCTTACGTCGCAACAAGGAAAAATGCATAAAAACTCAAAATAGCTTCATTAAAAATTGGAATATGTAGAAAAAACATAAAAAACTAAATACATTAAAAAAAATTAAAATTAAAATTACATTTCTACGCAAAAACAAAAAATTCGGCCAGCGAACAAGAAGGCAGGTTTTTCGGTGCACAAAACTGAAAATTTATTTTTGGTCTCAGTCAGCAAACAGACACTGAAGGCGTAGAAAATGACTTAATTTGTTGTGGACGCTATGCTGAGTCAATATATAAGATAATTTAATAACTTAAATAATAATTGCAGAATGGACTAAGCATAATTTAATTTGCAATAATAAAAAATGCGTTACTTTGTTGTTGCGAAACTTACTTTCTCTAGATTGGCAGCAAATCCACTGTTCTGATAAGTTTCAAATGTAAACAAACATGGCTGCCTTGGTAAAGAATTAGGCTTAGCCGCACTTAAATAACGTTTAAATTGTTGATAATTCTACATCTATAACATGCACTTTATCTAAATTCATAAAAGGCTTAACCGGAAGATAAGAACAACACAATTTAATCATTTTTAAAGCAAAAAAAAAAAAAAAAAAAAATGTATAGTTTACCAACGTATAAGAATAAAAAACTTAGCTCAAGGAGCCGAGTAACAGAGTGGGTATGTATTTAT